GTTTTATCATAAAACTATTAATAATTAAGTACTGAATCATGTAAATAGAATATTTTTTATTAATAAGAATATTTCTTGGCATGATTAGAAGTCTTCTCATCGTGTAACTTGAATCTTTAAACAAAAATGTTTTACATTCCTTCTGAATTTAAGTCAATGAGTATAGAATGCATTGTAAACGTATCGTGAACGCAGCCATCGCATTGAGAACGCCGTGAACACGAGGTGAAAACTCCTAACGCGCCGTGAAAACTCTGCAGAAGCGCAGTCAATCGCCGAGAGATCTCCGTGGGAACGCAGAAAAACGCCGTGAGATCGCCGTAGAATCGCGTCCGTCGCCGTAGGGACGCCATGACATCTTCATATTATGAAAATTTTACAGAAATTTGTGCATTTTCTCTGCGATTCCACGGCGATTTAAAAGATTTAACAACGCCGTAATGACTCCGTGTGAACGCAGCTTGGTGTGACAGGGCCTTTATGGCAAAGGTTAAAGTTTGCAGAAAAAAGCTATTTTTAGCATATAGGCCACAGTTAAGGTCACAAAGTCATTGACCTTGGTGTCATTTGAAAGAGCTTAATTAATGGAGTATGCATACCAAATATGAAGTCTCTATCTTTCATGGTTCAAAGTTACGATGAAGGTTAAAGTTCGAGACAAACAAACAAACAAACAGACAGACAGACAGGACAAAAACAATATACGCCCTGGATCTATCGATCCGGGCGCATAAAAATCCTGTATTTATTACTAAGTATGTAATAAATGTTTATAAGATCCTTAATGTGTTTTGTACTTTCCCCATTACTTATGTAATGAAAAATGAATGAATTGTTTCTTGGGAAAGGAAATTCTGCATTCATTGCAATTTCTGAATGCTTGAGACACGTATAGCTAACCCATACATAAAATAGGGTGCACTGCATTGAACCTACCATATATCTGCATCTACATGGAAAGTGTGAAAAGTTTAGCCATAGCAGAACCCCTGGATTAGGTGCAGCTTATATCTGATCAAAAAGATCAATAGGAAAATAATTTAACCACGACCACCTGCTCGTAATGAGGCCATTTTCTGCTGACTTGGCTGTCAGTTGTTATTGGTTGAAGTTTGCTTGGGGAAAAGTGTTCAATACCCCATTACCAATTAATATGGCCCTGTAGATTTTAGTGGTAAAAACACCTTTGAAGGGTTGATTGTAGGGGATCGCCCACATATTTTTCGATGTATCACTGCATGTGTGTGCAACAGGTTGTGAACAAGAGAGACTAAGTGTTTGTCATGTATCCGTAAATGTATAGATCATAGTATGGAAATACATGTAATAGGGTAAGTTAGTAATATAGGCATCTTATTTGAAATTCAATGACAGTGTAATTATCTACTTAAGTATGGACTTTAAGGTTGCCATTATTTCAATGGATAATAATTTTAATTTTGATGAAATGTTACTTTTCTTTTCCACCAAAAAAAAAAAAAAAAAAAATTAGTTTTAAAAAAGCTCAAATTTCAAACCTCAGATCTCATGATGAAAATAGAAAAATTTAGTAAATTTAAAATGCAGACCCTGACATCTCAAGAATGTACAGTAATAACAAGTAATAATATATAATATAGTTATGAAATTTCCTTTTCCTAACATGCTTTTTGTAATGCATAATATACCATATTGTATATCTATCAAAATCAATCAGAATTTTCTTTAATTGAGAAAGTCGTTTTTCAAACAATATAGACAATATTTTAAGCTCTTATTTCAATTCATCAATGTTTTTATTTTAGATGCTCTTAACTGAGCACGATAAAGAAAAAACACAAAGTTTTAGTCAGTTTCTAGTTTCATATTTTGTTTTATTTAAATGAAAAAAAAAATACACAATACATTGGTAAGATGATTATTGTACATGTACTCAGAGATCCTGAAATATAGTGCAACTTTAAAAAATTATTTGTTTGATTATACTTTGTGATTTGTTTGATATCTCTCTCTCTCTCTCTCTCTCTCCCTCTCTCTCCCCTCTTTCTTGTCTTGATGGAATTTGAATAATGACAATAAAAATAACAGTATACATAGAATGCTGGGGTCAAGTTCACATCATCCAAGCCACAATTTCTTAATTGTTTGCATAATAATTGATGTCTTTGATGAGAATTTCTTTTTCCCCTCAGGAATTATTTAGGGTATAAGACAATTGATATATAAGGTCACGTCCAAGTTTAGGCCATAAAGTTTCTTCCTTGTATTATTTTATTATTTGTAGTCAAAGTTCTTTTTGTTACCTATCATTTATCAAACATGTATTTCAATCATATCAATAAGTATCAAAATGAAGTTGAGCATATATTAATATGTTTGCCTAAACTAATATAAAAAGCAATTGCATTTCATGAATACTTTGAAAAATATCTAATTGCCCTGAAGCAATTTCTGATTTCATCTCCTTGAGGAATAAATATTTATATAACTGATGAGAACCTTCCATTGCATTTGTCAATATATATCACTGTATAGGTATATAGCAATAAACTCTATAACCACAATGACTTGAACATTGACAAATATTTTTTTTAGTAAACTGCGTCGTAATTTTCTAACAAGTTTAAGTTTATTTCCATGAAGTATATCATATCACATTATGTACAAGACAGTCATGGTTAACGACCATGATTAGAAGTTGTAATGTACGCCTTTGATAAAGTCGTGTTTTATGAGTAGTTCTATTTGACCTTCAGCTATTTTTCACAGTCGGAGGTCATCATGGGCCGTTAAAACATGTGTACTATATGTCTATCGTAGATGTGCAGTGTATTTGGAACAGGTAGAATAAAACTGTTTGCATGTCGATTCGTAGAAGTTAGTGGTGCATTTAATCATTGATTTTTACAAGTAAGATCCACAAATTTCAAAGGAATGAAATGCAAATTTTATGAGGATTTATTGATTGTAGTTAAGAGTCTGCTCTACTAATTAAGTTTTTTTTTTTTTAAATATCATTTTGCGCTGTTTATTTTCTTAAGAAAGTTTTGACATATTGTTTGTTGAATATATTTTGATAGCAGGGGGCATGCAACATGTATGTATAAATATAATTTAATGTGAATGTAAAATTATTTTCATATAATTGGTAACTCATTGAACTTGATCTCCTAGATCATTCAATGCTTGTTAAATTCCTGTCATGTATATTATAATTTTTAACATTTATCTTGTACATGACTGTGTATATCCTATATTTAATTACTGAATTCATAGTAAATTCATAGGTACAGCCATTTCTATGTTCAGTTAGGTTTATTTTAACATTTCTTAGAACAAGATGAAGATATGTGAGAGTTAAAAAGATTAAAAAAAAAAAAAACAATTTTATAACTTATATGTTATAACATTCAAACGCAAGCCTTCAATCAAGTGATTTGATACAAATTGTTGCTTCAACAGGGGATACTGGTATTTTACAATACTTTTTTGCCAATAGATGATGATTCGAAAAATTAAGAAAAGTTTATGCCAGCTTTGTTTAGCAATATACAATATCGATTGTTCTGAAAGAAAATAAAGTATTATAGTAAAACAAAAAAAAAATAAAAAATAGGAAAACATGATTGATTACGCTTTTACCTATGAAATTCCACCAAAAATGTACTGAAATTACACCCTTGCTGGTCAGGTGCTCTCTGACCTGTCTGGACACATGGCAATCAAACCCATCTGATCGCCACACATTCTTTATTGAAAATTTCTGATTTTCTTCAAATTGCATTGATTACTTACTAGCACAGGGCTAATGATGTATTAGTATGTCCTCTTACTGAGGAAAAAATTGCAAACTGTACAATACTAAGGTTTCTATTAGAAAGCTTGATCACGCAGTGAAAAGACAAAATCATTTATTTTGTTCTGTGTCTCGTTAAAAACTTGTGTAGGAGATTGATGGTTTTCTGTCTGTGGTTGATTGCTATTTCATTTTCTGTCGTTGGATTCATTAAACCGAGGTTGGTAACACTGAGTTCGTTAAAATCTAATGAAGCTTACGAAGCTTTAAAAAGTTAGGTATTTGAGACATCGAAATTTTTAAAATGAAGACAGTTTTGTTCATTTAAAAGAAAGTGAAAACTTACTGGTGCATTTAATATTTTCAAATTGGTAACCCAAAATCAACTTGCTGGTATTTTTCCTTCTCCAGTATTTTCAAGAAAGATTAACTGTATCATTATTGTCACTTTTTAATTTAATAAAGAACGAAAACTTATTAAGTTTTCCTCAAAGGAATAGGTAATTGAAATTTTAGCTATGCATGAATGTGTGAAGTCAATATATGTCAATGCATGTTAAAGAGATTTTTGTCTATTTTTTGGTGTAAAGTCAAAACATTTACAACTTGAAACTGAAAAAAGTGTTATGATTGATCATAACTGTTGATGGAAGAGGAATGCAGGTGATGAATTTCTGTGCTTATGTTTATACATGTACATGTATGTATATGTTTACTGAAACTCAATTGCATTCATTTCTGGTCATTTGTACTTGCTCACTGTTCCTCTTGTATTTATTCTGATAGAGAATAAGGTACTTAATTGGCTTTCACATTTAAAAAAAAAATTGCAATCAGCAGCCCAGGTTACTGTTAATACTAACTAATGACCCTTGTCTTTTGGTGCAAGGTCATCTTTAATGGGCCACGGTCAAATCAAGATTTTGATGGCTTTACATGTAAACAAATTTTCCTAACAGTGAAGGGTTCAGACAGTAGTTTCTATATACATTCTGTACCAATAAAAGATGTATTGGCTCCTATTCTTGGACTTGTATCAAGGCGAGATAATACAATGTATACATAGTGTCGATTATATCTCAAATAAGTTGTGATTTATTTCCAATAGAATCAGGGTAGTATTTCCTCGAAGGAAGAATGGCTGGTAGGAGATAGAAGTAGGGAAGGAGAAATTTATCAATAATGGAATTTCTGAGGAAGTATTATTGTCTGCATTTTGATTTAGGAAGGAATCTTAGAAACCTGCTCATCAGAAGCGATGATAAGAGAACTGCCGGTGGCTGTCCATCTGATTAGCTTATAGTTTGCTTACAAGAAACCGTTTCCTCTGGTCAATTACTGGCTAGTTTACGACCTTGAGTCTAATAGAATTTGGCAAAACAAGGTTTTGCTGACATAGTTCAACAGATTTAAGCCCCCAATCTGGCAGCAAGGTTAGTCGTTAATTATCATAATAATTATTTTATTTTCTTTTCTACGTCTCAAGTACTCATAACTCTGAGTTATTTGATTATCTGTGATAAATAATGTATATGTACCTGTAAGTTTATGTTGTACTATTACATTTGTATATTTGAATATTGCTGGGTAATTTGTGTAGTTCCGAAAGGGGTCATCCTTATAATTAAATTTTGTGTGGTCTTCACCACGTGCTGGAAAAAAACATGTGAATGCATGCAGTAGAGATTTTTGGATCAAATATTTAATTATGGAAAATTTTATTGGTACATTTTTAGGAAAAACTTATTTTCATTGGGACTGAAACAACTGAACATTTAGATTTTGATTCTTAGGGAGGAGCCTTGTTCATGTTGTTAATCTATTAAATCCAAATCATGCTTCACCTTCTGTGACAAAATTTGTAGGCAACAAAATTTATCTGTATAATTACGTATAACCAATTATAAAACACGATAAAAAAGGAAGTTTACTGTTGGGACACTTTGTAAATTCAGGGAAATTGCAGCCTTCAGCTTTAATTAATGAGACTTGTGTATTAGGTACCTTTCTATGGCCGTGGGGATTCATATTTTATATATATAAATATAAAAAAGAAAAATAAACCTAGGTGCTGCAATTACTTAATTAATTACATGGGGAAAAAATAGCTAGCTCTGTATATATACAGCCATAATTATATATTATATAGCTGAATTTTTCTGTAAACTGTAGAAACTCAACAAGTAAGAATAAATTTTTTTTTGTATAAGAAGGTTTGTTTAGCTGATACATAATTTTAGGAAATACAATCCTAACAGGATTTTCTAATATACAGGATATAAATGAGGGTATCATGTAGTAAAGTTGCCGTGATGGATGATATACCAGAACTTGAGAAGGGCCTGGATTAGGACCAACAACTTTCAAGGCCCAATGTTTCTCTTCTCCCATGGAGTTAATTAATAAAACCTAACAGTAAAAACTTTTGCTTAATTTGATGTTTATATATATAGTGAATTTTTCTACCATACAGGATATAAATGAGATCATGTAGTAAAGTTGCAACTTTTGCTTAATTTGTTATTTCTGTAAATCATAATAATTTATTAATTTGGCATGTGTAGCATTAGTGATGAGAACATTTAAAGAAGCTTTAAATGTTCAAAGTTGTCTTTATACATGTGGGTAACAAGATAAGCTAGGTCATATTGTGTTTAAGTAAGGATGTCAGGATGGGAAATGTGAGGAAATTAGACAGGAAACATTTCAAAAAGGAAAGAAGGAAGTAAATAGGAAAGCCTTATCTCCTAGGGGTTTTATTGAAGAAACTGATTCTTGAAATGACACAATCATAAACATATGATAAAGGGTATATATATTTCATATATGGAAAATATTAATGACGCATAAACATATGATAAAGGTATTTAGTTTATATACATTTCATATATGGAAATTATTAATTTTTCCCCCCATTTCTGTATGTCAGCTTTATTACAGGTAAAATTTGGTAATTACATGAAATACGTTTTCTATTCTTTTGCTGTTTGTTAAATTATTGTACTTGTTTGATCAAAATTTTTTTTATACATGATTGCGTGCATTTATAATACAAATCTTGTCGAAATTTTCTTTAATTTTGATATATCCTTATAAAAAAAAAACATGATACTAAGTTTATGAGTAAATACTGATAAAGGTTACCCATTTAAAAATATTGATCTAGGTCACAGTTGTATACCTTGTGATTTGTTGACTGCACTCAGAATTGAAGGCAGGTGCATTATTTGGGTAGACATTATTGTTTATTTTGTACGATTATCAACCGTTTGCTAATACTGCTGCAGATACATGTTAGATAATAGAGTAATGTCAGCTATCTTCTGTACAAGCAGTGTGTTATTTATCCTGAGTGGAAAAGTCCAGACAACTACAAAGATTAAAACTTGCTGTGTTCAAGTGGTCATTATCAGTAAGGAAGTTTTATTCATGTGTGATTGCATGTGATTTGAACTTACCTTTTCCTTTTCTTTCCTTGTGAGATTTTTTTTCTCTCGCACATTTGTTGGCTTGATTGCCACAATAGTTGGACAGGGAACATTTTCTCTACATAGGAAATAATTAATGGTATTGTGTCGAACTTGATGTCGTATAAGGGAAACTTGATGTTCTCTGAGCTATTAAGAGAGTTTAATACACTGTCATATTTTTCTCTCTCTTTCTGTCCTACAGGTTACCATAGCAGCATTATAATGAAGAGGAAAGGAATCTGATAGCATGGATCATACAAGTGTTTGGATGAATGCAGATCAACAAGAGCCGTACAATACATACTCCTAATGGCTGATAGGCCCACTCTACAGGAATTGGAGAGTCTCACCCTTCCGGTGCCGGAGGAAGATGTCGGAACTCCTGGAAACGTAAGTCAAGTTTCCTCCGTGTCTGCTCATAGTCGCTGCCTACTCGTCAAGGGAAACACGCAGCGAGACATTTACATACAGCAGGGCCTCGAGTTCAGTCGGGGTGAGGACACTCGATTTGGTATCGGAAGATGGAGGCCTCAGTGTTTACAAAGATGCCTCAACATCAAGGCATTTGTGGTGTGTATGAGTGTGCTTCTGGCTGTCTCAGGGACCTTGTCAACAGGATATTTGAACAGTGTGCTTACAACAATCGAAAAACGGTTTGAAATTGGTAGTTCTATCTCTGGACTTATCGCAGCATCCTATGAGTTTGGTTCACTGGTGGCGGTTGTGTTTATCAGTTACTTGGGAGGGCGACGTCACATTCCAGTATGGATCGCAACGGGCATCTTTTTCATGGGCCTCGGAGCATTCCTGTTTACTCTGCCTCATTTTATTGCCGAAAAATATACTGTGTATCGAGGTTTATCCGTCAATAACACAGAAGAAAACATATGTAAAATTAACAGTGGTTCCTTGGGGGATGGGTGTATTGACAATGACTCAGGGAATTGGATGTACGTTTTAATTCTGATATCCGCCCAGATAATGATAGGCACTGGCAGTACCCCAATCCTTACCCTGGGAACAACTTATGTTGACAATCACGTCCATAAAGATAAAGCTCCAGCATATTTAGGTAAGCATTTTTTGGATAAGTTAAACATTATATAAATGTTGCATGTAATCGAGTGTAACATTACAAATTTTCACCCAGAGAAAACTATTGTCAACGGAGGTAAAGCCATGGTAAACAATGGTTTTCAAGTGTTGAAAATTTTCAATGTTCACTCAACTACATGATGCTGTTTTATTATAATATACTGAGAGTTTTATACAAATACAGTGAGCCTTGCATGCATAAATTCCGAAAAGTTGACATTTTTTTGAATGCATGTATCACCCTTCGTCAAGCAATGTTGACTCTTGGTATGCTGAAATGCCTGGCTTCAATATTTAGCAGATAATAGAAACTAATAATGTTTTTTAACAAATGTTTCTCAACAAACCAGATTCAACTTATTTACATAAAAGTATAATACTAGTAATTAGTTATTATTACTAGCTATTCTGAAGTCTACATCTTTGCCAAGTTCCACTGAGATTGGAGGAAAGTACAGGAAAAGTAGCTTTGCGCTGCTTTCCAAGCAGTAGAGAGAGCTACAATCTCATCTGAGACTTTGGTAAAATCATGCATGTCAGACAAGAAAGCTATGTACATGCATTGCACAAGAAATGTTCAGATACTTTAATTACAATTAGACATTGTGAACTTGTAAATTTATTAGTTTTAAATGCTTCTTTCAAGTCCATTAGTTAATGTCTTATCTTGTCCTTAACAGCTTTTATATATGCCTCTGGAGTTCTGGGCCCTGTTCTGGGATATGGACTGGGGGCGCTGCTGTTGCAGTATTACGTAGACATGTTTAGCTTTGAGGTCAACATCCGACCTGGTGACCCCGAGTGGATTGGGGCCTGGTGGGGAGGATTTATCTTGTGTGGCACATTCCTTATGCTTCTTGTGTTCCCTTTCCTGTCATTTCCCAGGACACTGGTGGCCGAGAAGGCCAAGCTGCTGGAGTATAAATATAGTGAGGATGTACTGAAGAAAGAGAAGAAGGAAGATCAGCAGTCCAAGCACAGTAATGAGTACGGCAAGACAATTAAAGGTAAGCACAGTAATGAGTACGGCAAGACAATTAAAGGTAAGCACAGTAATGAGTACGGCAAGACAATTAAAGGTAAGCACAGTAATGAGTACGGCAAGACAATTAAAGGTAAGCACAGTAATGAGTACGGCAAGACAATTAAAGGTAAGCACAGTAATGAGTACGGCCAGACTATCAAAGGTGAGCACAGTAACAAGTTTTGTAAGACTACTGTATACAGGGTTATTTTCGCCTTGTGTTATGTTCGCCCTTTTGCACTAACAAACAATTTTGCCCCGTTTTTAAATTCCCCCAGTCACAGTTCTGTTCAAGAAATTATGCTGTTTTCTTTGAATTCGCCCCGTTTTAAATTCACCCACATTGATTAGGGCGAAAGGGGCGAATATAAAACGGGGGCGAAAATTTCCCTGTAAACAGTAATAAAGGTAAGCTCAGTAACGAATACGGCAAGACTAAAAAGTATGGGATACAAAATATAGGAACAAGAGGGAATATTTCTAAATTGTTAAATGTTATAGATACACAATACTGCATGGATATAGATTATTTGCCCTCTGACTGAATTGCCACAATCTCATTGGTGTAAAAGTGACATCTGACTGCCATCTGTATCTCTGTTACTGGTTTATGAAAACTTGTATCCCAAAGTAAATGTCACCTAACTATCTCAATATGTGCATTTGTTTATTGCATTATCATCATTATGGTCTTCAATTACTGTAGAAGTACTTTTTTCATGTGGTATTAGGCCTAGAAAGAAAATATGTTTGTTTCCGCTTTCCCAACCGACCCTAATTCATAGTGCCGACCCTAAATATTTTTTTAATGCTTTTGTCCCATGATGTGCAAGATTTCAACCAGGGAATTATAGCCTCCAACTTTGCAAGCTTTTCAAGACAGAAAGAAGTTTGGGTCACCTTTCTATTATAAGTTAAGTCACAGTAATTCTTGAAAACACCATTTCTTTTGTCATTAATGTTACTTCTACACACGTTTTGATTAAAGAAGCAAAAAAAATTTTTCAAAAAAAAAAAAAATTGCCTACCTACCTACCCTATATTTTTTCAGCCTGAAAGCGGAAACAAACATATTTTTTTTCTAGGCCTTACCGTAATTTACACTATGATCGCGGCCACAGATTTTCCAGGTAAATTTATCGTACTTGATATACCTGAATGGTAGGGATGGGTATCGCCAAAAATTTTGTATCGCGATATATCACGATTTTTTTCCAACAATATCACGATAATATCATGATATTTTTAAAAGCAGTTTTTACAATGATTTTATATGAAAAGTCATTTTTTTTTCTAAAAAATATGCTAGAAAAACAAAATTTTACTTTCTTGAAATTTTTATGTATATAAAATCAATTATGTTTGGACGGTAAAGATGCCGTTCTTTTCACTTTTTACAACATTTTTTATACTTTCTGTAATTGTAATTTGAAAGATTGAACAAATAAATGAATAATTTTTGGACTTTATAATAAGTACCAAAAGACCGGTATTTAGGTCTCCGTATCACGATACGTATCACGCAACAAAAAATCGTGATATACCGGTATACCGATAAAATCGCACATCCCTACTGAATGGCATCTAGTGCAAAAGTAGCAAATTTGCGTAATTTTCTACCCGCAAATAAAAGGAAATAGAGATTCTGCAGAATTACGACCCCGTGGAAAAAAGTATATCTACAGTATTTAATTAAACAAATCATTAATTATCATTGGTCGATCTCATAAGACTGTGAAGCTTCAATGAGATATATCAACCTGTTATATTTCTGTAGACGGTTTTTTGAGGACCTAGAAGGAGAGAGATATACCCTGTAATCAATGATTCCAGGTATTAGATGGCTGGACATCATTTATATTGCTGGATATCATTCTCAGCTGCAACAAACAGAAATAAAGCACTAGTCATGTCATGCATTTAAACCAATGAAAGTTCGACATTTCAGTCTAATGGAAAATAAATAGGAACATTTAATTAACTAAAGATTTCTATACACTAAAACACAGTATAGAACATAGTAGATATAGGAGAATGAGAAAACTTCTGTCAATAGTGTGGGATATAAAATGTAAGGGTCTGGGTAGTGCTATGATAACTCTTTCTTGCCAGGGTAACTGTGGATCTATTCTCTGACTAAGGATGTTTGGTTGTTTGTATGTAAAACAAATACTGTATACAGGGTTATTTTCACCCTTCTGCACTAGCAATAAATTTTGCCCCGATTTAAATTGGCCAGGCAGTCATAGTTATGTTTAAGAAATTATGCTATGTTCTTTGAATTGATCCCGTTTTAAATTTGCCCAATCATGAAGAGGGCAAAAGGGGTGAAAATAAAACGGGTGAAAATTTCCCTGTATACAGTAATAAAACAATAATAGGGTATATGAGCATCAGACAATATTAATTAACCTTTAACAAAATGAAAACAGTGAGGGTAGCACATATAGAACTATATCAAGATGAAGCTACATAAACATATTATTGTCTAGGGCATTGACCCCCCCCCCCTCCCCCCCCCCAAACCCAACACAAACCCCTCCACACACACACATACACCCACCTCCACCAAACCCCTAATAAAATATTTTTAAAAAGACAATGAAAAAAAGATAGTAGAAGTGATCAAATTTACAATAACAGTCACAGATTTGAAGAAGAATGAAGTGCAATCAGAATCACATTGAACTTAATTACTGGCTGGGGAAGGCATTTACTTTTAAGTGTCATTCATCTTTCTGTGCTAAATTGCTTCATTTTTTGGCTTAATGATGTAAAGTCTTGTGAAATTTCAGCATTTATGGAATTGTAATACCATGGTGACGTCTCTGCTTTAAATTGATTTTGACTTCATCTTTGAGAAAACTTGAAGTATTGATTGTAAACAGTTACATGCAAATTGAAAAATTATACCCTGGTAATTATACCAACAATTTCGATGAAAATTGTGTAGGTGCAATTATTTTTAAGAATTCAAAGTTAAATGTTATCGCAAGTTAAAGTTGCAGTCATTTTGAATTTGCTGTTAATTAAACTTCTGGGTTTTTTTTTTGCATTAAGGTTTCAGTGTAATTTTGCCTTCAAATTATTGTCCTATGACCAGACTTGTCGAAATCCGTCGGTCCTGTCGGCAAGGCCGGTAAAAATTTGTCTGGACCGATAACATTTAAGAAAACGTCGGTCCAGATGACCGTTTGAAAGAAATTGAGCGTAATGCAATTTTAATAAAGATCGGGATCGGGTTGCGTAATTAAAGGTCACAAACTCAGAAAAAGTGGCCGCGTACGCAGCATGTTGACGATAGCTGAGTGAATTTGTTATAGCAAAGTCATAAAACTTGTCATTTATATCTATGTTAAAGACTCTCTATCCAAAGAAAGGAAACTTGTTAGATTGAAGACTATTGAAAATAATAAAGTACATTTTGGTGCTGTTATTCATATGACTTTATCAGCTTCAAAATAAAGGTACAAGTATCTGGTCTGACAAAAGTTTGACTGGTCCGACAGAACATTCAATTTTGTCAGACCAAATGTCTGACAGTAATTAAAAAATTTCGACAAGTCTGTAAGACTATAATATATAATAAACCTGCTCTAGTTTAAAAATGCACTTAAAAGATAAAACTAAATGTATTTACAATAATATAGTATGACATTCATATCATTTTTTAAATAAAAAGAAGACTTAATTAATAATTTTGATTTGCTAAAATATTTATTCATAAAGAAGAAAAAGGCAACTCTTCTCCAAGAACAACGTAAGGTGTCTCTGAAATTCCTCTTCAGTGACACCAAAGATGAGAGGCTCTCAAGTTTTGAGTATGAATCTTAATCTTTTATGTGTTGGATTTGAGATTTTGTTACCAAAACACTAATAAAAGCTAATCTGGGCTCTAAGCCCTGCTAAATGACAGTAATACCACAGCTGAGGTATTGATCGGAAATCACAATCCATTTTAGTTCTACTAATATGATGGACAACGGTTCCCATGGGGATTCAGCCAACTGATTATTCTGTCACATCTCTTAAAACCACTGCTCACTAATTTCTCCTCACCTGAAGATTTCATTCAACCTGGAGTATTGAATTTGTATCAAGTTTCTTTTTCTGTCTCTTTCATCTATAGCATGTGATTGCGAACTTGTTTTTTTTTCTTGAATGGTAGTAATTAGCTCTGTAGACGCTATTGTCTGGAAAAAAGAAATTATTGAATTTGATATTTTTACTCTCAGAAATGTCACTTGTCATTGTTTTTCTTTCATTTTCGTCAGAGAGGAAATTTGTTTTTCAGTACATGTATTTATATTTATAAAAATTTTGATATTATGTTTAAAGAGTACTGTAATTACTTAGACAGTAAAAAGTACAGGGCAATTATAGTAAACTTGACCTTTAACTTTGCTTGTTAGACGTACTTATCATCAGACAGTGGTGTAAGCCTATTATTTCCTCCATTACTCTATGTTTATGTCTGTGGCCTCACATACTTAGTTATATGTGTATGATTTTCATGTCAACATGACTCAAAAAGTCTTAGGGAATCTGAGTTTTCATACTTCTTCATCATGTTCATAACATAAATTTGAGCCTTGGAGCCATCAGGGTTTGATCTCGAATTGTAGCTGGTCTGGTCCATCGTGTTTCCCCTCCTTTTGGTTATAGTTGAGATTTGGAGAAAAAAAAATACTTTTAGGTACTCATACACATGTAAATTTGTAATTATTCATATCAGTAAAAATTCTTGCATGAGAAAAAGACTCTCTTCTATTTGACTTAGGACAAGTTTTCACTTCCATTTATGATCGAAAGTCCAGGGTGAGGTCTTATTAGGCCTAGAAAAAAAATATGTTTGTTTCCGCTTTCGAAAGTCCAGCTTTTGTCCCATGATGTGCAAGATTTCAACCAGGGAATTATAGCCTCCAACTTTGCAGTAAGGTTATTATATTACACTTCATAAAAAAAAAAAAATCATAATTATATTTTTTCACTGCACAATCTCTTCACTTCATAAAAATCAGTTGAAGGACAGACACTGAGCAGCAGTTGTAATGAATAATATTCTACTTTATTTATTGCACTTTCAAGTACCTATAGACTTGTCAGTACATATAATGCACTTATTTACACTAGGACATAATATATAAAGTAGTTGGGAGTGTTTGTGAGGACAATGTCCTGTCATTAAGAAAAATACAAAACCATGTCTTATTAAGGGTATTGTAAAGTCGTATCTCTGTATTGTCACCTAATTGTAGAAATTTTGTTTTTGAAATCTCCATTAAATTTTATATAATTCATCATCTTATGCTCTGATTATTAATCATCTGGCATTTCTTTACTCAGCAACCACAACATATTATAAAGAACTATTCTGTTTTGTTATAGGTACAGTGTAACCTAGTTAATCTGTGTACTTGTTTTGCAGACATTCCCCATTCCATACTGTCCCTGTTTGTATGAGTACAGTGTAACCTAGTTAATCTGTGTACTTGTTTTGCAGACATTCCCCGTTCCATACTGTCCCTGTTGAAGAACAAGGTGTACCTGATCACCTGTCTGGGGATCTGCTGTGAGATCTCCATAGTCAGTGGCTTTGTGGTGTTCCTCCCTAAGTACCTAGAAACACAGTTTGGCACCTCCACCTCCATGGCCAACCTGTTTACTGGTGAGATTTTGTCAATGATGAATGAAATCAGCCAAACATTTGTAGGAGTTTATTTTTTTTTTAAATATTTACCCAATGCTTTCTACACAACAAAGTGAACTTTATTGAAATAAACATGTAAAAGGACATGCTGAAGCTTTATTATTTGCTCGTTATCACTTAGAACTTCCTGTTGGTTCATTTGTGTAAAATTTAGCTTCAATGTGTGTGATTTTCCAAAAGAAATCTATTCAATAATAATAAAAATGCACAAAATTTCCAGCAAACATCATGTGCATTATTTAACTGAAATTGTCTTTTTTGTCAACAAATGAATGAAAATAAATTATCCTAAAGGAAGTTATCTCTCTTCCCAAGAGGACCAGTGAGCCTGAAAACTGACACATTAATATTTCATGTCGTTATAAGAGTAACATGGAAAATTTTCACCTTGCGGAAAATAATGGTCAATAAAGTGCAGCTATGTTGATTAATTCATAAAGGTTTTTGAGGGGTAAAAGTTTTCAATGTCATCTTTCACTACACTGTTTTTTTTCCCAAATGGATCCTATGCATTTTCCTCAAACTTCTCTTGACCAAGCAGAATTGATTGATTTCCTTAAAGTACAAAAACATTTATTATAATTTTTTACAATACACTTATATATCATGGAATAGAGTAACATGCCCTCGTATGTGTAAATGTGTTTACATTACAAGAATACACCTTATTAACTTTTCAGTCTCTCTTGCTCATTGGTTTAAAGGCAGTCAAAGGAAAATAGCCCATTGATTATTTGCTCTAAAAGCAAGGTCGGATATGAGTTAGAAAGTTGAAGGGGGCAGAAGTTAAGCAATTAAAGGATGCTCAGATTTGTCATGTTGTGTAGCCCCAGTTCACAACTTTTTCAATCTGTTTAATAAAAAAAATGTTTTGATATTGGGAAATTGGCAGTTCTGTTAATATGTTTCCCTGTACATAGTATTTTAGTTAAGCATTTTAAATTAAATTTGTGCTAAATAGAAGTAGAATAAAACAATGAAATTCTTTCAGGTGCTATTGGCATTCCTGGAGCGGTTATTGGTATTTTAACAGGGGGATTCCTTCTGAAGAGGTTCCAGTTGAAACCAAAAGGTAAACATTTCATGTAATTTGTAAATAAGCAGAACTCCACATTTATTGCAAGTGAATTCAATACTGGTATATTTTTCTTCCCATTTCTTTTTACCCTGATATAAGACAGAAATTTGGCATACACAACTTCAATGTGATGGGATTTTTGTGAGATGAATGTCAATGAAAGGGTAATGCAGATTAAATTGGTTGCAATGAAGTGCTGTATTTTTTTGCGACTTTTCATGTTAACTGTGAAACAGTGATCTTTCATGAGGTGAATACATGCACTATACAATATACATTCATGGACTGTTATGTTGCCATCAACTCTGCACATTTCAAACCAACCTCCCACCCCACCCCCAAAAATACTTAAAATTAGAACATGTACCAGGATTCTAGGAATAATTGGAAAATTCTTCAAAGACAACCATCTGACTTTGAAATTTGTGTTATTTTTTATTGATGTGAACTGATGAGAATAGTTTTTGTGTTTATATAATTAAACCTTTATTGGCTTGCACTTTGTCAACACAATCATTCAGCTGTCCTTGAAGACCAATATTACACCCTGTCCAATTAGTAGGCTTAGTAAACTTTGTTTTTGTCAGCTAAATGATGGTGTTGACCCCACAAAAGTCAATAATTGTCTGAAGTTGACAGTCAAACAAGGAAAAATGACTCACCAATAAAAATTCTTCTTCCTGTTGATGTTCTATGACTTCAGCATGATGTGTTTTCTTCAGCAGTATCAACCAATGAGAGATAAGACACTCCTTTATTTGTAAACTACAGTTGAAATTGGGTATCTAGAACACTGATATCTTGAATGCCATGGATATGTTGAAGTAATTTTGAAGTCCCAACCCTTTATTCTTTATCTGGAATCTTTGGACATCTTGAAGTTGTTTTTTTCAATTCCATCAAGCTAAAGGTACCAAGGTTTGACTGTAATTGTATTGGTTAAATTTCCAGGAGCCATTCAGTTGACCCTGTTGCTGGACTCCCTTGCTTTGCTGGGTTTCCTGTCCTTTCTGGTGCTGGGATGTGAGAATCCTAAGATAGCAGGAGCCACCTTTCCATATCATGCTTCTATCAACATGAACAGGTATGGAGTCTCCAGAGTATCTCCCACATGAAGAGATTGGACCAAAAAACATTGCCAGATGAGGGAGGGGGGTTGCATGATATGTAATATCAAGATAGGGATGTTTAAAACTTTATCATTGTAGAAAAAAATAAATATTCGTCCTTATTTTGAGAGCTGAAAATTTTAGCATCCTTATCAATGTCAACAATTCATCCAATTTCAATAGTTTATATTTCTTACCCTCCAATTTTTCAGTTCCGAGTTGGAGGAGTTTGAGATAGAAGCCAATCTGACGTCCACTTGTAATATTGGCTGTTCCTGCTCCAATAATGACCTTGAGCCCATCTGCGGCATTAATGGCATTACGTATTTTTCACCTTGTCACGCGGGCTGTACCCAGTTCTTCTCACATATCACAACAGAGGAAAAGATGGTGGTAGGGTGCTAGTGAAGGGCATTTATAAAATTAAAACTTCTTGTATATAGAATCCATATACTGTTATGTTTTTGTTCACTGTGGAAAAATCATTATTAGTGAAATTAAACTGCACAAGTATATAACTCCATCGCATTTGGTCAGAAAAATTTAACTACTCTACTTTACCACAATTGTAATTTAAATCTTTCCTTTAACAAATAATAATTCTGAAGTGTCTATTTGATTACAGAATTTCAGTGGTTGTTCTTGTATCATGGAGAACTCGAGTATTTCCCCCGAGGTGATCATGTCCCCTGTGGCGACCAGTGGACCATGTAAATCCACCTGTCAGAACCTGCTACCATTCCTAATTCTTCTGGTGATCCTCACCTTTACTGTGGCTGGCACACAGATGCCCCTCCTTATGATTACCCTCAGGTAAATTACAGATATACAAGAAATATACAATAAGATAGAGAGATATACACAGTGAGATAGATATATACAATAATAGGGATGTGCGATTTTATCGGTATACCGGTATATCGCGATTTTTTGTTGCGTGGTACGTATCGTGATACGGAGACCTAAATACCGGTATTTAAGTACATATTATAAAGTCCAGGAATTATTCATTTATTTGTTTAATCTTTTCAAATTACAATTACAGAAAGTATAAAAATGTTGTAAAACGTGAAAAGAACGGCATCTTATCGTCCAAACATAATTGATTTTATATACATAAATATTTCAAGAAAATGAAATTTTGTTTTTCAAGCAAATTTTTTAGAAAAATAATGACTTTTCATATAAAATTATTGTAAAAACTGCTTTTAAGAATATTATGATTTTATCGTGATATTGTGGGAAAAAAATCGTGATATATCGCGATACGAAATTTTTGGCGATACCCATCCCTATACAATAAGATAGAGAGATATACACAGTAAGATAGATATATACAATAAGATAGAGAGATATACAATAGGAGAGACATATATACAGTAAGATAGATATATACAATAAGATAGAGAGATATACACAGAGAGATATATATACAATAAGATAGAGAGATATATACAGTAAGATAGATATATACAATAAGATAGAGAGATATACAATAGGAGAGAGATATACACAGTAAGATAGATATATACAATAAGATAGAGAGATATACACAGAGAGATATATGTACAATAAGATAGAGAGATATACACAGAGAGATATATATATACAATAAGATAGAGAGATATATACAGTAAGATAGATATATACAATAAGATAGAGAGATATACAATAGGAGAGAGATATACACAGTAAGATAGATATATACAATAAGAGAGATATACACAGAGAGATATATATACAATAAGATAGAGAGATATACACAGAGAGATATATATACAATAAGATAGAGAGATATATACAGGAAGATAGATATATACAATAAGATAGAGAGATATACAATAGGAGAGAGATATACACAGTAAGATAGATATATGCAATAAGATAGAGAGATATACAATAGGAGAGACATATATACAGTAAGATAGATATATACAATAAGATAGAGAGATATACACAGAGAGATATATATACAATAAGATAGAGAGATATATACAGTAAGATAGATATATACAATAAGATAGAGAGTTATACAATAGGAGAGAGATATACACAGTGAGATAGATATATACAATAAGATAGAGAGATATATACAGTAAGATAGATATATACAATAAGATAGAGAGATATACACAGTGAGATAGATATGTACAATAAGATACAAAGATATTCATAGTAAGATGGATATATACAATAAGATAGATAGATATACATAGTGAGATAGATATATACAATTAGATAGATATATATACAGTAAAATAGATATATACAATAAGATAGAGATATACAATAAGGTACAGAGATATACAATAGCACACATATGCCCCTCCTCATGATTACCCTTAAGTAAATGACAACTTTACAAAAAGATAGAGAGATGCATATACAATAAGATAGAGAGATATACAACACACAAAGTTTCCACTTCTCATGATAAATCGTGTTTTCTAAGATTCATTAGAAAATGAAAATAAATTACTCTAAATATTAATTGTATTTATTCAATTTTTTATATTGTTAATTTTTTTTTTCTGTTGTAGGTCTGTCCATGAAGAGGAAAGATGTTTTGCCCTGGGTCTTCAGTTTGTCATACTGAGATTGTTTGGTAGGTGTCTGCCAGGGACAGTTTTTGTACATTTCTTAAAGTGCATTTCTTCAAGCTATTATTTTATGAAAAGCACACTTTTCACCATGATTAAGGTGAAAGAATAATATGTGAGAGTGTAATTATAATTTGATTAAATTCTTGATGTATATTTTACATCTTACTTACAGCTTACATCCCTTCTCCTATAATGTTTGGGAACACCATTGATACAGCGTGTCTATTATGGAGGGATTGGTGTGGAAGTTCTGGGTCCTGTTCTATCTATGACATTGTACAGTTCAGATATCGATATATAGGTATGTTTGTCTAGTCTCCGAGTAGTTAACGTTTAAAGATGTATAAAGATAATAAATAATTAATTTGGGCTTTTTGAATAGATCACTTTAGTCGTCACGCAGATGAATTATGACCAGCTGAATGGGATTTATTGTATAGAAAATGATTATATGTCTTGAAAAGGTTTAACACCTGGAGAAATTGTGTCCATGGTTTGAATGTAATGTTTTGCTTTATTTTAAGTTTTGAATCTCTGTATTTAGCAAAAATTGCTAGTTAATTTATGTATTCAACATAAGATCCTCTAAGAGTTGCCCATCTGTAAGTTACCGTAAACTAGTGTAAAATCACTTATTTTCAAGGGGTCAAATTTTTCATGGTTTGAGGAAAAAATGCAGGTTTGTTGGGATTTAATTTTGTGGATTAATAATTGTTGAGTTGTTATATCTGAAAAATTACATTTCATGGAAGATGTAAATTCATGGGTATCTTCATACCTGGAAAACCACGAAAATTAAACCCCCACAAAAATTAGTGATTTCGCAGTAAAAGCATGGTAAGGAAGAGCATGAGACCCTTTACAAAAATTATGCAAATCATGGCCTTGAGGTTCAGACATTAAGTCAGAAAGTGATGATTGGTTGATGTCATATCGAAATATATTACAATTAAGAAAATGGACATTTAAGAGGCAAAAAACTATAACAGACATCAGTCTACCAACATTTTAAAAATAATGATAAGGGTACACAATTCAGTCTCAGGACAGGTCTAATACATTACATATTTGATTATTTTGTCCTTTTCACATAAAGGTATTTAGAGCTAATGTTTTCTTTCTTGAGTTTATCCTATTTACATTTATTGTATACATTACACTTATTCACCCACTTGCAAAGAGGGAAAAGGGAAGGGGGGTGTAAATGGTACTAAATGCCCATTGTCATGATGCACATTGTGCATGTCTTGTGTTCCTTTGCTTGAAGAACCCAGATAAGTTTTAAAGCCGCAGACAATACTGACATAACATATTTTCTATGTTTTCTTTTGTTTCAGGAATTTCAGCTGGTCTGAAATTTATGGGAACTGTGTTTTTCTTTGTGGTGTGGATCCTGATGCGTCGACAGATAAGAAGAGATTTACAGTTAAATCTTCCTGTAAGTTCCAACCTTAAATATCTGATGAAATAAAGATTTTAAGCCTGAAAAATAGGGAATAACTTTTATCTCATTTCTCTTCTTGTTTTATCTGTATTAAAATTATCTTTTCCCATTTTTTGTAGAGAATATTTCCATGATAAGAAAAGCATGCATTTAATGAATTGACTTTTAAATCCTAAATTTTGTGAGGGTTTAATTTTCATGATGTGAAGAGACCTAAAAATTCACATCTTCCTTGAATTGCTGCAATTTCAAAAAAGAACATCTTGTCACTTATGTAACCATAAATCAATGCCTCCCAAAATCAATTATTTTTTCTTCAGAAAATGAAAATTTGATGCCCGCGAAAAGAAGTGATTTTACTGTCTACTTCCATTACATGAGTTTCGAATACATAAGTGACAATTTCATTATTACAGGTCGGTGATATCATGTCTTCAATGAATTCCATAAACAAGTTAGACCTTGACTACCCTCAGCGCCACGCCCACCCCCGGGGGGGATCAGGAGACCAGACTAAGGCCATGGTAGAGGACCACCAAGCACCTAATGAGTCCTGTCTGTGATATTTATCTAATCAAAACATGTAGCCTCACTCCGTATTGCCAATCTTTGTCATTCAATAACGTGAACAATATTACTTGTGTATCACATTTTTTTTTTTTGTCAGTATCAGTTAAAAATATCATTTTTTTTTCTCTGGCCACTGTTTCTCCCATGTGTCAAATGATGTATGTACATATATATATATATATATTTATAATATATATCATTACGATTATGTTCTTGTTCTGTTATCCTTCTATCGATATATACAATGTAATATACAATGTAATATAGCTATTATAACTCATGTAAAGAATTTTCTCCAAGCCGAACGATGATGACAGCTTGTTGACTCTTTATTGCCCGACTGTATAGGCACATAGCAAAGATATTCAGACTTATAATGGTTGTCAGTAACGAAATATCGCCCGAAACGGCATTACTGAATCGGCTTTAGAAGTGCAATGTACATATCTATAACATACTGTCCTATGTCCTATGTATCACAATGTAAATTGTTCAATACTTGTGAAGTTTATGGTCCTGTGTTTTTAAATTATCAAATATTTGTGAAATTCATGTTTTTTGTGACTTGTATGGGTTCTCTGTGTTGTTGTTGTTGCTGTGATAGTTAGAACAATGTAGCAAACATGTGTATCAGGGAAAGGGAATAGAACAAATTAAGGATATGTGGTCTATAATGTAATGTATACATGTATTTTGAAAACTTTGCAGTCAAGTGTATTTTTCTTAACCTTTGTCTAAATTGAAAAAAGTTTAAGTTCTCTTGAGAAAAGGGAAAGTAACAGGTTAATTTTAAAAATTTATTCTTTAAATTTATATGAATTTTAAAGCAAGCCGGCTCAATTACTATCTTTTAACATATACAAAATATCAATAATTTTTTAGGAATATGAATTATTCAACAAACATGAACTTTATTTTTCACTTTTATTCTTTTGTCCGTTCGTTTTTTTCCTTTGAATTGTTTACTTGGTGATACTTTTGAAGTTCTGTAATACAACGAGGTAGAAAATAAGATTTAAGTTCTAATTCAATGTCATTATTCACAGATGTAAACAACATGCACCTTTTATGAGAAATATTAATTATTTTAAGCTATTGAAAGAAGGTACAATTGTAGAGAGAGAAAAAAAGTGTTCCAAGGGAAAAAACTCTGGCAGTTTATTACTGATCATCAGAAAGTAACATCAGTTTTGACAACAAAGCAATATGAGCTGTATCTTTGCAAATTTTATTTTGCTGGTAAAATGTGCTTTTATGATTAATTTGTACGTAATTTAAACCCTTATGACCAATAAGCCCAAAATAAAGTTTAAAATGTTTCAGAAGAAATATTTCTTTTCAACTGAATACACAGTTTTATATAAGAAATCATTATTGTACAGGACGACAATAATTCAATTTTCTTCAATCAAAGCTAATAAAAAATTTTCATTGCAAATATGAACAACAGATTTTTATAAATGATTTATTGTTCTGTCATTAGATTAGTTAATTACAATTTTGCAATAAAATTTTCCTATGTCAAACATGCAGCTCATATTGCTTTAAATTATTAAAACTATTGATAAATGCATATGTCACCAACCCTTTGCTTTGTAAAAAGGACTGAAGAAAATATTGTAAAATGGGTCAGAGCTTATATAATCTTGTATTATTTACTGTAACTATTTATTAATACTCCCGAATATAAGTAACAATGCAATATACATGTGTTCAAGGAGGAATACAGTAAATGTTATTCCCAATTATATCCCAAAAAGTGTTCATATTAGAAATTTTCAGTCAAAGTTATAATCAGTTCTTGCCAGATTGCTAGTAAGCCATATATTTTATTATGTTCCCCAAACGAAGTTGGGGAACATATTGTTTTTACTCTGTTTCTTATTATTATTATTCTTCTTCTTCTTCCTGGGTACTTTTTTGTCCGGGAGTGATCTTGTAAACTGTTCATCCGATGTAGGTAAAACCTTTTTAGGGTCAGTAGACATGTTATGTAGATTTGTGGGATCAAGGTCATTTTGCGCGCACGTGCTTGCAAGAGCGTGCGCGTGCAACACATGAATTGACCAATATAATAGATATAACCGTAACTTTTTTATTTTTTGATGGAATGCTTTGAAACTCATAATTTGATTATTTATTAGTAGTATAGACATGATGACATGGTCAAAATAGCAAGATCTCATGCGCATGCACGTGCGCTTTGCTCTGATTGGCTGAAACTAAAGTCTCTATATCTCTCTTGTTTTTCGACGAAATCCTATGAAATTTTGAACATAGCCATGCATTAATATATCCTACAACATGATATATAGCATATATCATAAAATCACGTGCATGCACGTGTGCTGCAATCTGATTGGCTTAAACTTTAAATAGCTATAACTCCCTTGGTTTTCAACCAAACAGGATGGGATTTGGAACATAGATAGATATAGTGAACTTCTACAACATGATATGGTCGCCATGCACATGCATACACGTGCGTGTACTTGCGCTGTAATCTGATTGGCTGAAACTTCAAACAGCTATAACTGCCTTGGTTTTCAACCAAACGGAGTGGGATTTAGAACATAGAGAGATGTAATGGACGTCTACAAGAAGATATGGACACCATGCTCATGTATGCACGTGCGTGCACGTGAAATGAGTTAAATCAAAAATGCACTTGAATGGGCGTATTTTTAAATACTTTTGGATTAAATGCTGTAATATTTAGTATATTCAAATGTATAGATTGTGTATACAAGATGATATGGTCATTACGCACATGCATTCACATGTGCACGCGTGCAATGCTAAAATTTGAATGAACTTGGCGTTGTTAAAGTCTCAAATTTATGCATAGATTTTGTCCTATTTGGGAGTTGGGGAGCGTTTGGGGAACATCTGTAACGGTCCCCGTTACAATTAGCACTAGTTAATTATAAGTTAGAAATAACGCAATATTTACGGCTAAGGCTAATTTAAATAGTAGTCCTAATTTATTTATTTGATTACAGTGAATGCTTGCCAGATTGATTGTATTTTATTACAAGCATGAATTGTTTATTTGTTAGATCTTTTTTTCATCCATGTCTAATAATTTCTCGTAATGAATAATTTTGAAAACCAAGTACAGTTGAAGTTGCTTTTAACTGTAATGATAAAAAAATGTACTCACTGAAAGAAAAATGAAACTGAAAGAAAAAATGAGATGTATTATTTTATGTATGATTATAATTATTGGATGTAAGAATCTATTGAAAATAAGAATTTATAAATAGAAGGCTGAAACTGAATCTAATAGAATTGATTTGTTTATTAGAAAGTTTTAATTATTTTATTGGTAGTTAATAGGGCATAAACATGAAAGAGAAAGTTGTAATCTAGCATTGCTTCTGATAATTAAACAGATATTTTTCTTTTTTTTTGTGAAGTTTTAGATGCTACATAATATTTTGCATCTTTGAGTCTTTTCTTTATCAATGCAATTTTACTGTATTTTTGTGCATTTGCTCTGTATTCCATGTTTTTGTTCTTGGCAGTTATTTTCCAACATAAGTTAATTGTTAAAATAATGAATCTTTTGGAAATTTGTTATTAATCTTGGTTTTTGTTTTACCTAGAATTGATCAAATGTGACACTTGATCTGTTTTTAAAAATAAAGTTTAAACACTAATACTTTCTGATTCTAATTTTTTTTAGCTCACCTGAGCCGAAGGCTCAAGTGAGCTTTTCTGATCAAAATTTGTCTGTTGTTGTCATCATTGTTGTAAACTTTTCACATTTTCATTTTCTTTTCAAGAACCACTGGGCCAATTTCAACCAAACTTGTTACAAAGTATCCTTGGGTAAAGGGGATTCAAGTTTGTTCAAATGAAGGGGCCACGCCCTTTTCCAAGGGGAGATAATTATGAATTATAGAAAAATTAATGGCATTTTTAAAAAATCTTCTTCTGTAGAACTACTAAGCCAGGAAAGATTAAACTCATGTGGAATCATCCTCAGGTACTGTAGATTCAAGTTTGTTCAAATCATGACCCCGGGGGGTAAGGTAGGGCCAAAATGGCCAATCAAAGTATTACATAAGAGTAGATAGGAAAAACCTTTAAAAATCTTCCCAAGAACCACTGGCCCAGGAAAGATGAAACTCATGTGGAATTATCCTCAGGTAGTGTAGATTCAAGTTTGTTCAAATCATGACCCCGGGGGTAAGGTAGGGCCAAAAGGGCCGATCAAAGTTTTACATAGGAGTATATAGGAAACATCTTTAAAAATCTTCTTCTCAACAGACGGAAGGACGGATGTACAGACGGACGGGCAGAATTAACGATTACTATATAACCTCCCGCTTTTCAATGGGGGGGGGGGGTATAAAAACAGAAAAAGAAATTCTGCAGTTTTACTGTTTCATCATTTGTCAGCCATATTGAATTTTCGGTGTAATTACCTACACATGCTCTGCACAGGGTGAAGAAGGTGTACACCAAAAGTGTACACTTTTGCACTTGATTATGAAAAAGTGTACACCGATTGTAAGGTGTAGACAAATCAAGCGCGCCCATAGTAATCGTTAGTTCCGTCCGTCTGTTACGCTTTGGGGTACCCATCTCTTATTCGCAACTCCTCTCATACCACTGAATGAAATTTGATGAAACTTTCAGAGAATCTTTATTACATATTGCCATTGTGCACCTGCTATTTTACTTTTTGATCCGACACAAATTTTGGGTTTCCCGGCCACAGCAAAACATGGACTTTGCCATTATAACGGTATATGAAGGCGGGGGGTATCATTTAGTGAGCTCATTGCTCACAGTACCTCTAGTTTTTAATAGTAAATTTCTTCTATGAAGAGGAAAATTCTTCTGCATTTACGGTTTGAAACGTTAAAATTTTGCAGTAGGATTAATCTTTCATGACTCTAGATTTTAGATGTTGACACTTAAAAAGTCCACCTTATTAACATAGAAAGCAGTCAAACATATGAATTATTAAATGATAAGGAATTTTGGTGCTCTCTCATTGGTCTAGACGCCATTTGTGTACCTCAGAGTGAGTTCACCTCAAATGACGTTCTGGGAGGTTTATTCGGGTTTTCCCTCTCGACCAACCATAGATTTGCTTACAGCTTTTTCGACCAATCAGATTGCGTGTTTCAAAGCATGTGTCGGTGTGAATGTAAACATGTCAGACGCCATTACCAAGGAGATTACGAACTTTTGAAAGTAAATGGTTGAGTATTTATTGTTTAATATGTTTTACGGTGTGACCGTTGGGGCGAGCGCAGTTGTACCATCAAAAAAACTTGAAAAATATTTATCAGCCACTTCAGACATCAAGCCGCACAAGACGTCTCGACTACCTGTGACGTCATACGACGTCAGAGCTCGTCGGAACTTACGGAGACAGCCGAGCGTCTGGTTGAAACTATAGACCTAGTGCAATTTTGGTCGAAAAACATTGCAGAGTTATTTTTTGTTTATTTGAAAAATATCTACAAACTGACAGCCTTTCATGCTGTACGTTATTATTTATTTTATTTATTTATTTATTCGCGCAAAGGACATTGGGTAGTGCAGGAATTCTGGGAATGTTGCACAGAGAAATTTGGCTGACGTATGTACAGATTTCATTCCGAATGTCCTCTGTTCTTACACGTTATATAGTCTATTGAGCTCGCTTCGCGACGCTCGCTGCGCTCGCTATTAATATTGTTTTTAAACTTTTTAACTAATAGCGAGCGCAGCGAGCGTCGCGAAGCGACGCTCGCGAAGCGAGCTCAATAGACTAACGTGTATGAACA